TTTTTTTTTTTTTTTTAAATTTAATTTTCTCCCCTCAGTTTATAGGTATGAGCATCTGATGGTTACGTGTTTGATTTATTTTTGGTTTGACATGTGCTTTAGCTCGAAGATCTGTTTTGTCTCTGAGAGCCGCGCTAGTGGCCCTGCATCTGGTTTTTGCTGGGGTTTTATTTTTGCTTGATAGCGATTTGATTGATAAGACCAAACAGGAGCCATGGTAATGTTTGTACTTTCTGATTGCTGACTTGTGCTTCAATATTTGTCTGCTAGCAACTTTGTGGGTTAATTGTGATGAAGTATGTTGTATAGTCTCTGGGTCGGTTCATGTGTGGATACATAGTTGTTTGCGGTTATGGTTGGATGTAAGCTCTATAATTCAGAGTTTAAACCTTCACCAGCTTAGAAGACTAACTTGCATAAAAAATTTCAACTTTCTTTCCCATCTTGCTGAAAATGACCTGAAAATTTGTGAAGGTAGCTTGTCTCTGAAGCACTTTTTTAACTCCACAAATGCAAAAGTGTGGCCTTAAAATCATGAGCACTGTTCATTATGATGGGTTTGGAAAATGGTGGTCCTTGTGGCTTCCTTGATTTAGTCAAAACTGGACCTACCTAGATGCTATAGCTAAGCATAGGTCATCAAGTAGAAGATAGCTCAATGGTGTGTGTGTGGAATGCAAGCTATATAACTGTTTTTCCTGCTTAGAAAACTCTGTTGGCACTCTGCAACAATTTTGTTGATGATCTATGCATAAGGTTATGATAAGTTCGATTTTTTTTTTCAACTTTACACAGTTTAGAAATTGGATCCTTGTGTTGCAAGAGAATTACTGCCCACAATCAGAATAGGAATGTTAGGAGTGACAAGCTGGGTTATAGTTATAGATATTTGCTTGTGACTTCATTTCACTTCCTATTTGGGGATCATTTTTAATTTACGTTCTTGTTATCATGATACTGGCATCATAATAATATATATAACATCCTATCTATTCCCTTCCAACTCAGGTACACTGCCACATATGTATTCTTGTTCGTTGCTACTCTGATTCAATATTTTATTACATCTGGGGCATCTCCGGGGTAATTATATTACCATCTGTTCTCACCGCTAAATAATCCTATATGTAACTACTGGCGTGAAGTAGATCTTTTGTTTCATTTATCTTCAGTAAGCTTACGTTTTTCCTCTTTTTTAAATAATCTAGTTTTGTAATGGATGCACAAAAGGATGTTGACGAACGAGATGCTTCTGCTAGAAGATCATTATTGGCCTCGAAGTAAGCAAGTTCTTTTTGCAATTTAACACAAAAATAATTAAAGTCTGCATAAGATATTCGTCCAAGTTTAGAATTCACTAACTGTGATGTCTTTGGTTATGTCTTCCTACAATGATCAAGCAAAGACAACCAGCTTCAAGCAAACGTGGCAGTGTTGTGATCACTGTGGATGGGAGGAACTATCAAAGAGGGAATGCAACTGCTTGGACAAAGCTAGTAATGGATTTATACCCTCCTGGGACATCTACTAGGTAGAAGTACATAAAGTATATTTGGCATTACCAAACAATTCTTGATTTTGTCGATGGATTTGCCAAAGCTCCACTTGGCGGAGATGCATAGGGGTATTGTGATGACACTCAAGACAGTCCCTGCTTAATAAAATAACTTAAAGCTTGTCAATGCCTCCTGAGTGACTCCACATGTAGAATACGAATGATCTTAAAGTGAATCTTTTCCCTTTTTTGGTGCTAGGGCTGGTGGAAGGAGTAGATTTTCCCATCTTTTCCTTTTCTGCATATAATAATTCTTGCACTACGGTGTTGTCTGTTTTTTCTTTCTTCCGTTCCCCTCCCCCCTCCCCATCTCTCTCTCTCTCTCTCTCTTAATTTTTAGTTCAAGGCAAGCTATTGTTATACAGAAAGAGATAACGTATAATATTCATAATGGAAAGATATATTCTCGTGGAGGTTGTTTCTTGTCCAACCAAAATTGATTCTTTGTTAGCGACTTAATTATAGATGACGCATTGCATCAAACACCTAATATGTAGGGAAGTGATGTGGTGAGACATCCTTAAGGCTGTGGAAATGGTAAATTGTGTATAGGTCTGTCTAGACTTGCACTAGAAACAGGATTAGGATAGCTGATGTAGACAGTGTGATCCCATGAACCACCTTAACTTCATTTGCGTATTGTCATATTGAGAGCAGCAGAATGCAGAATTTGTTTATTGGAAGTGTCGATCTATAGCTGATTGAATCTCTTTCTATTGGTTGTTTTCAGAAATTTGACATGCCCTTACTGCAATGTCCTTCAGGTAGTACCTTCTATCTTTCTTCTCTTATTTTATTATTTATTTGATGATGAATCATTCCAAAGATCTTCTGGACAAATTAACATGTATATATACCACTTGCCTTTTATGTATCTATTTATTTTTGTTTTGTCCTGGTTTCTGACTCTGCTTGACTTGTATAAATGCTTTCATTCTAAGCTTGCATGAATAGCTAAAAAAAATAAAGAGTGCTTGCATGACTAGTTATGTTGTATTTTTTAAGCTTTTTATATGCTAAGCTACAGAAAACTGGCTGCTGATTTTTTGGTGCCTGATCCTGTGGAATAATAAATTCCTCGGAAGTTAAAGGGAGTGTAGCTATACTTGTCATGCCTAACTTTAAGTTTTCCAACTTCCAAAGTGTCCTTTTCCTATGATGGATGAAAAGCCTGAGTTTAGATGAAAAAAGCTTTGCTTTTGCTTTATATGTTAAAGTTACAGAACAAAGTTTCAGTTTTTAGGCATATGATCTTTCTATTTTTCATTTCACTCATGATCTAAAGTTCTAAACATTCTCTGTTTCTGATCTGTGTGTATTTGCATCTATTTAATAGCCTCCACGAGCAAAACATTGTCATGATTGTGATAAGTGTGTACTCCAATTTGACCATCATTGTGTTTGGCTTGGGACTTGCATCGGCCAGGGTAATCATTGTCGATTTTGGTGAGTACGCTATGTTTTTTCTTCTATTAGTTATTTCTTGCTTATTGTTTCTGATAAGTTGTTGACTCTTGCATTTCATATTTTGGGAACATTTTAGGGGACATTTTATTTTATTTTTCTGTTCATTGGTGCTTGGTTAGCTAATACCAATTATAGGCTTGCGCTGTATTTCCAAATTCAGGTGTCAGGCTAGCGCATTTGTACTATCTGAATGTAACATTATGGACACTCCTCATCATAAATTTTTCCATGAATGTTCTTTCAAATATCTCCTTTTTTCATTATGACTAGTTATTCTGGAGCGATTACATCTGCACCTTTAAGTTTTTATCCTCGTTTTATTACTTAGTGGATCTATCAGTTCGGTACATCAAAGTTCAGCAATATTCTAATTTGAAGGTGGCAATTCTTTGTTGGGATAGGCCTTTGTTCATTCATCGAGTCTTGATCTTCCTATTTATAAGACTCTTCCTATTTATCCTTTGTGATCTTGATTTAGTATCTTCATATAGTCATATCTATTTATCAATTGTGCTTGATGAATTACTCAAAGATGCATCAAGGAGCTTCTTCACCACATATTTTTTCTTGGATATTGGCATGCTTGAACATGATACATCAATTAACTATACATGATTGATTCATAGCTTATAAGTTTGATGCTATCCGACTGACCTTTTTCCTATCATTTAATTTATTTATACGGTGAATCAGGTGGTACATATTTGAGGAATCAGCCTTGTGTCTTTGGACGAGCATTTTGTACATTGGGTACCTTAAGTCAAATATATCAAAGGCATGGTATGTGTATAAGCTGTCTTTTTGAGTGAGGGAGAGCGTCGTCTTCTATTTTCCTGTCATTGAAACAAAGATACTTTAAGCCTTTTCTACACATCTAATTTAATTATGCAAATCTGATTTCCTTTTTGGCTTTGAGACTTGGCACTGATTGGGGTTAAATACCGAATACACACTAAAATGAGTTTCTTCCAGGTGGGCAGATGTAATAATGATCTTGCTTCTTGCTTCTTTGTCCATTTCTCTAATCTTTCTGCTACTGCTGCTCCTGTTCCATAGGTATGTCAAGTACCGATGAATTTTTATTTGCTTGTTTCTTTTTATCTCCTATATATACGTACTGAAGTAGTGATTGGGCCTGCAAATTTCAAATGTGGCAGCTACCTTGTTTTGACTAATCAAACCACATATGAGCTTGTTAGGCGGCGGCGGATTGTGTATATGAGGTTTGTTCTTAAATGCCATATCTTATATTCTTTAGCAAGTTTTGCTCCCCTGTTCATACTTATGTTTGCTGCTGCACATTAGAAGGGGTTTAGTTTGTGCAACTTAAATTTTTAATTGCTTGAGCATCTGAGCTATGCAGTTGATGCGTCAGACTAAGATTTTGTGCTAATTTGTTGATTTAGTAGCCAATCTTAATAACTTGAGAAGATGGAGATAATATTAGGAAAAACTCAATTTGGATTCAAGAAAAGATTTTGATTTGATGGACTCGTTCATAACGAGAAATCGGTCTTTTGGAGAAGATCGTACCGAAGAATATATGAATAGTCGTGTTAGCACATTGATGGGCCTTTAAAGTTAAATCTCTGCGTATTTTGTCCGATTTTGTGATGGGGTTTTTGTTTTCAGGAGCATTCCCGAAAGAGTGTACCCATTCAATAAAGGAGTATGCAGGAATTTGTACTTGTTCTGTTTTGCCCGAAGCAGTATCCATAGGATGGAACCACTACCATCAACTCATGAGCTCGAGCAAATGTCGAGGCCTTACACGTGCTCTGACGTGTTATCTTGTCGATGCTGCTGATGTTTGTTGGGCCTCTGTAACTTTTGATCAGACGATTGTTTTTTTTTTTTCTTCGAACTGGTCATCCAAGGGAATGTATTTTCTTCTACTGCTGTGTGAAATTATTGATAGATATTTTGGCAATAGTGTTGTAATATCAGGTCTCTGCATTGCATAATATTTTTTTCAGCTGTGGAATATAAAATACGTGTTCCCAATGCAATTTCTTGTTTTATCATGTCATGTGGCTTCTTTTCCTTGTTCACTTTTCATGAGTGATTAATTTTATTCAATAGTTTTACCCATTCGCTAATCCAAGGTTTGTGAAAAATTGCACTCGAACTCCTACGGATTTATTTTAGTAACCTAAATATATTTGTCAATTTGTTCAACTACTGAAGTCTGACTGTTGGATTTCATGAGATTTATTTCGTTTCAAAATTCGTCATGCAAGCTCTTAAGTGACACCTTAAGCGAAAATCAGATATCTTGATTATTAGAAAAGGTTGAATCAGATATCTTGATTATTAGAAAAGGTTGAATTGAAGTCTCGCCATGGGTCCTAAATCGATTTTAAAGCTCGATTCAAAATTATTATTAGTTGAGTTAAAAAACTTTTTTTTTTTTTTAATCATATTAGGATTTTTAACAAAGGATTTTTAGCAGATGAGACAAACTGTCCGTTTCGAGTACTTTGGGTGTGGAAGATAATCTGTCAAGGCTCAAAAGATGCACTAAATTCAAACTCTTTATTAAGAAAATCACATTCCACTTCAAGCTGATAAACAACAAAAACCAGAGTAAACCCAAGCACAATACTCATTTGAAAAAACACACAAAAATCACCTCAAAATTTATCATTTTCTTCTCTTATTATACCAAGGGAAAATGCTACGGTCTCGTTACAGAACCATTCCGTCGTTGTTTGTAACCGTTAGATCAACTATTCCCGACGGTTACATGATGATCTACGGTTATAAACCCCGATAGAATGGTTCCGTAACGGGACTGTAGCATCTTCCCCATTCAAAGACCAACAAAAACAACAATAATCTCAACTCCTAAAACTCTTGCCAAACTTCAATCACATCAAAACCAAATCATAAATACTAGCTAGTTTCAACTACACATGTGATCCCCAGACAGGATCATTTATACAACACAGTGACACACAGCAGATATAAGTAAAAAAGGAAAAAATTATCAAGTAACACCACCACTTTTCTCCTTAACCGTCATGCCTGGCCTGAAAATCCTTCATGAAGGCCACCAGCTTCTCCACTCCGGCGAGCGGCATGGCATTGTAGATGGAGGCTCTCATGCCCCCGACCGACCTGTGCCCCTTGAGCTGCACCATATTCTCCTTGGCTGCCATCTTCACAAACTCGGCCTCCAGCTCGGGCTTAGCCAGTGTAAACGGCACATTCATCAACGACCTCACCTCCTTCTCCACAGGGCACCTGTAAAACCCCTTGCTGCCGTCAATGGCGTCGTACAAGATGCCCGCCTTCTTTGCGTTCTTCCTCTCGACCTCGGCCAGCCCGCCTTGGGCCAAGAGGTCCTCGAAAACGAGCCCGCACATGTAGATTCCGTAGCACGGGGGCGTGTTGTACAGAGAGTTGTTGTCCGCGTGGATCTTGTAGTCGAGCATCACGGGGGTTGCCGGCTGGGAGTTTCCGATCAGATCTGATCGGACGATCACGATGGTGACGCCCGAGGGGCCGACGTTTTTCTGTGCCCCTGCGTAGATCAGGCCGAATTTGGTGACGTCGACGGGTTTGGAGCAGAAATTGGAGGACATGTCGGCGACGAGGACCTCGTTCTCGCCGGCGGGGATGGGGTAATCCTTGAATTCGACGCCGTGGATGGTTTCGTTGGCGCAGATGTGGAGGTATCGGGCGCCGGGGGTTTGGTCGAGGGCGTGGAAGCTCGGGATCTTGGTGTACTTGTCGGATTTGCCGCTCCAGATGGATCTAGGGTTGCAGTACTTGGCGGCCTCCTTGAAGGCCTTGTCGCTCCAGGATCCGGTGACGACGTAGTCGACGGCGTCGCCCGGCTTGCAGAGGTTGAGAGGGACGGCGGCGAACTGGGTGGTGGCGCCGCCCTGGAGGAAGAGGACGGAATACTCCGGCGGGACTGCGAGGAGGGAGCGAAGGTCCCATTCGGCCTTCTGGATGATGGATAGAAACTCCTTGCCGCGGTGGCTCATCTCCATGACGGACATGCCGGAGCCGCGCCAGTTGTAGAGCTCGGACTGGGCGCGGAGGAGGACGTTCTCCGGGAGGGTGGCGGGGCCGGCGGCGAAGTTGAAGACGCGGTCCGCGGAGGAAGAGGAGGAGGCGGCGGGCGGCGGGGTATGGAGCGCGGTGGAGGAGCAGGTGACGGAGATCGGCTTCCGGGCGGGGGAGAACGGACACGAGAGCGTGGCGGGGAAGGCGGAGATCTGGGGGGCGAAAGGGGTCCTCAACGGGGTGGTGGTTGCGGCGGCGGCGAAGGAGATCGACATGGCCATTTTTTTGTGTGAGGTGAGGAAATGGGATCTTGGAGGGAGCGTTTATATACTTTTTGATAATTAGGTTGGTGGGTGCAAATTAAATTGCAATTGCAGAATTCCAAAATGAGGTTGGTTGGTGGACTTATCTTTCGTTGAATTGATGTACGTCTTTGAATTGACGTAAACCTATCATTTTTATGATTATTTAAATAACATTAATAGAATTTTATTAACATGGTATGATTTATTTGTTATATATAGAAAGTTAGCTCCACTGTAGAGGCTATGTTTGGTAAAACTAGCTGATAAGCTAGCTTATAGCTTATTAGTAATTTTCTAGCTTATATCTTATGGCTTATTGCTGAAAATCTAGCTTATATGATAAAAGTGTTTGGTAAACTTAGCTGATAAGCTAGCTGAAATAAAAATTTCAACGAGCTTTTTTGAAAAGCTACCAGAAGAAGCTTATCAAATAAGCTCGAGCTTTTTAAATAAGTTCATCCTACCAAACGGAACTTATTTAAATACAGGGAGCTTATAAGCTAATCAAATAAGCTATAAGCTAGATTATTGGTCTACAAAACATAGCAAGAGCCAATTGTTGGCTTCATAGCAAACCCGTTAAGGAAAAACTAGAAACAAACTGTTTTTTATTGATTTTTTTTTTGTGTGTTAATTAGAGTTTAACCTAACTAAGCTTTTTAACCTCATTTTTCGGTTAAACAAACTGGCTAACTAAGCTTTTTAACCGCATTTTTCGGTCAAACAAGATGCTTGATGAATGAAGAAGAAGTACTTTAGTACCGATCTTCAAGAACAAGGGTGATGTTCAAAGTTGTGGTAACTACCGTGGAATTAAGTTGATGAGCCATACGATGAAGCTCTGGGAGAGAGTTATTGAGCATCGCCTACGACGAGTGACGAGTGTGACCCAAAACTAATTTGGGTTTATGCCTGGAAGGTCGACCATGGAGGCGATTTTCCTAATACGACAGCCGATGGAGAGATATAGGGACCAAAAGAAGGACTTGTACATGGTCTTTATCGACCTTGAGAAGGCTTATGACAGAGTACCGAGGAATGTCATGTGGTGGGCCTTAGAAAAGAACAAAGTCCCATCTAAGTACATTACCCTCGTCAAGGATATGTACAAGGATGCGATGACGTGTGTCCGAACATGTGGGGACGATACCAGCAACTTTCCAATTAAAATAGGACTACACCAGGGGTCAGCAATGAGCCCTTATTTATTTGCCTTAGTGATGGATGAGGCCACAAGGGACATACCAGGTGATATCTCTTGGTGTATGCTCTTTGCTGATGATGTGGTGCTAGTTGACGAGAGTAGGGCAGGGGTAAATAGGAAGTTAGAGCTGTGGAAGGACACGCTAGAGTCGTAAGGCTTCAAACTTAGTAGAAAGAAGACCGAGTACATGACGTGCGCTTTCAGCAATGGCTACTCATGATGATGGTGACGTTAGCCTTAGCGGGCAAGTGGTGGCCAAGAAAGAGACTTTCCGATATTTAGCATCGATGCTACAAAAGGATGACGACATTGATGAAGATGTTAGACATAGAAATTGCAGCCGGTTGGTTGAAATGACGTCAAGCTTCGGGCGTTCTCTTTGATAAGAGGGTGCCACAAAAGCTAAAAGATAAGTTCTATAGGACGGTGATTCGTCCGACGATGCTATACGGTGCTGAATGTTGGCCTACAAAAAGGCAACATGTCCAACAACTAAGTGTAGCAGAGATGCGTATGTTGCGTTGGTTTTGCGGGCACACAAGAAGAGATAGAATCCGGAATGAGGATATTCGAGATAGGGTCGGGGTGGCTCCAATTGAGGAGAAATTGGTTCAACATCGGCTGAGGTGGTTCGGACATGTCCGACGGAGGCCTCCTGATGCACCGATGCGTAGGGGAGTTCTACAGCGGGTCGATGATGTTAAGAGAGGTAGAGGTCGGCCTAAACTCACTTGGGAAGAGTCGGTTCAGAGAGACCTTAAAAATTGGAATCTCCAAGGATTTAGCGGTGGATAGGAGCGCTTGGAGGTTAGCGATCAACGTGTCGGAACCGACTTTTGCTCCTTTCTCTTTTGCTCCAATCTCTTCCTTTTGTTTTGTTTTTGTTTTGTGTTGTTTTGTTTTGTTTTGTTTTGTTTTGAGCCTTTTTTTGTGTTTCTCTTACCGCTGTTTCTCTTGGGTTTCATCTCTAGCCTACCCCAACTTGTTTGGGACTAAAAGACTTTGTTGTTGTTGTTGTTGTAGAGTTTATTTAAAAAAAAGTGTATGATTATTGTTAGTAGGATATTTAAGTTTATATAAAAAGAATATTTAGAATATAATAATTGTAAATGAATAGTGAATTAAAGTTGATGCGATATATAAAATTGATTGAATGATATTATTTAATTATATTGATAATACCTAAAAGAGTAAAATTGAGTTAGATTTTAAATTG